TAAACATCTTATTTAAAAGCGAGCGCACGTTCAGCACGGCCATATTAGTGTTTGTGCCGAGCGTGCGCTCATCCTCAGGCAGTGGTGAAATGGGAGCCAGTGTGACTGGAGTTAAGTTGATGGTCCGTGAAGGGAATGTTCTGTGGGCTCGGTGTGAGATTCTGACTGGGATGCAGGATATGGGGGTGAACTGTGAGTGAAGTGTTGGTGAAACTGACTGTATGCAGGCAGAGGATGAGATTGGAGGAGAAGTGGCAGTGGTAAGGTGTAGTACTGGGGGTGGGCGGTAGGGGGGGCTGGTGGTGGCGGTAGTGGCTTGGGACAGTGACACAGAGGAAGAGGGGGAAATCAGTCACGTGTCAGGTGTGTGTGAGGGTGTGTGTGTGTAGGTGTGTATGTGGACTGGACAGCATGTCGAATGTTGTCGCCGAGCACCCTGCTGCCCAGGCGAGAGGGGTGGACTCCGTCAGCCCTGTAGAACGGGGAGCGGTTCCAAAACAAGTTAAAATTGTCGATAAAACGGAACCCGCAAGGGCAGGCGGAATGGAGCCAGGTGTTCAGGCTGAGGAGTCTGCTGAAGCGCCCCATGCCACGGCTGAAGGAGGGGAGGGGCCCCGAGATAAAAACAGACTTACCGCAGTTGGTGAGAACCTTAAAAAGTTTCTTAAAATAGTCCTTGGTCACCTCAGACTGACGGGAGGAAGTGTCGTTAAAACCCAGGTGTAAAACCAGCCTCGTGATGGAGGATGGGAGTGAGCCCAGCAGCTCCGGGAGTTTATGGAGGAGAGTTGGGACAGTGGCGCCTGGGAAGCAGTGGGTTACTGCGTTAAAAAAACGGACGTGCCTCACGATGGAGTCTCCGATGATTGCTGTGGTCGGCGGGAACAGTGGGCGAGGACGCGGCGGTGGCGGTGGTGCACAGGTGGGGGCCGGAGAACCTCTGTTCCCAGCGGAGTGCCTTCGCAGAGGTTCCCTGAACGGTTTGCACCGGGTCGAGGAGTATGCATGACGGGGGGGAGGAGGGGGGCGCCGAAGCCCCGTGTGCATACCTCCGTTCACCTCCTCGTTTCCAGCAGAAGACGGAGGTGAGGCTGCGCTTCGTCCGACATCAGCTGGGCCCGGATCCGGCCTTCCTGGCAGCGGAGGAAAATCCGCAACACTGAGTACATCATACCTCGAGGACAGCTGGAGATCGAAGTGGGATTTCAGTGGTTTCAGGCTGGTCCTCCTCTTTGCAGCCACTGTTGACCGTGGGGTGGAACTCCGAATGTTGAACCTCGGGTGAGGAGTGAAGTCCAGTGCGGGAGCCGGCACTCGCTTTGGCCTTGCCCCCTGAGTCAGCCAAGGGTCCCCGGGTTGAGGATGAGCCGGCTCAGCAGGAGCCTCCGCGGTGGAAGGTGGGGAGCCAGAGGCAGCAGCGCTCGCTGGGGCCGGTGGAGCCTGCGGAGCAGCGGCTGCCGGGATGGTGGAGTCCAACTCGGCTGGGTTCACAGGGAGGCCCGCACCCAGCGTCAACATCGAGTCCAGGAGTGACTCCTCGTTGCGGATCCAGTGGAGGCTGGAAATACGTCGTTCCAGCTCAGCGATAGTTTTGGATTTTTTGAGGCAGCTGCTGCACTCGTGTGAGGAGGTGAGTGTTTCCATGGTTTAAGGTTCAGTGAGCAGAGGTTAGCAGCTTTAACCGCCGGCTACATAAAAACCGGCGAATCAGTTCATTTAAAAGCAGCTTAAAATCCGATTTAAAATTCTTGGCCCGGTTAAAAGATAGAGTAAAAAATAAATAAATAAAACAACTGAATCCAATGATTGTAGCACAGTTTTTGTGAGATTTTGGGCAAAGTTTTCGAGAGCTGTCAAAACCGGCGTCTGCTCACCAACCGGCGTCACACACAGGAAGTCCACAGGAAGTCGTTCCTGGAGGTAAAGCTTACTTATTCCATCATTAAACTGCACAGCTGCAGTAATCAGGCAGATCTCATTGAACAAACGATCACCACGTGAGTGAATGAAGGCTAAAAGTAATGGAAAAGCTACTTTGTGAATTTCTAAAGCAATGCAGGAATATAATGCAGCAGCATCCAGCACTTGCACAATTACCATTCAAAGAGTCTAAAACGGGCGCAGTACCTACTCTCTGCCTGCGGGGGTCGTCTTTCCCCACCGCTCATCTAGTGTGTCCGAATTGGGCCAACGTGTTTAGTATGTAGGAGTAGGATCTAGCAGTAGTATGTAGCAGTAGCATGTAGTATGCGAGCGGGCAATTCGGACACAGCAATAGGCTGTGTCCGAAATGGCATACTGCCTACTGTCTACTTACCTACTCAATCAGTACATACTGCATACTGAATACTCAAAGATGATTTGAGTATGCCGCGTCTGCCCGAGCGTTTACATACAGATGCATACTAAATACCCCAGAATGCATTTCGTACCGGCCGGACGCAGCGCCGGGAAAATTTAAATAGTCCTACCACAAGCTACACAAAACAACTGCATTCCGGACAAATTATATAAATTCATTCAGTAATAAAAGATTTTCTAGCGAGAAAGTAAGTGTTTACATCACGATTATGAGCCCAGTTGTTTGAAATAGCGTCTGTTTGTAAATTTGTCTCTGCGTTTTTGGAGACCGAAGCATCCGCTTGGTGGGTGTTTGCATCTATGTACCGTAAACACCGGGCAGCAGCAGCTCCCCCTTCACGTTTCCAAATTATTGCGAAGTGTTTTCATAATCAACAACTACGCAACACAAACCGAGCGGCAGTGGATGAAAATAATTACACAAACACCTGTGTATCCATGGTGATAATGCTATACACCACCTGCTAGGCGTGTGATGAGCAGCAGAGGGCTGCAAAATGACCAACACACAACATAATTATTATGACCTTGTTCGGTTATTCATTGGCAAATACATCATCTCCCGACTACATTCTTTTTATGTACAATGATAATTTCAGAAACCATTTGGTAGCTCTGCCTGGTGTAGGCTGAAAACTATACAGCGCCGCCATGAAAGAAGACAAAGGCAGGGCAGCTTTGTACTTCCTAATGGATTTTCAACCACAAGTAAGAATTAGTAAAGCTCACATATACATTGTCAACTGGAAAGTCCCCTGTTTGTATATTCTGAACCATGTGCTCTCTACCAATAATAATTTTTATTAATCAGAGGTCTGTGCTTGATATGAGTGACCACTTTGATGATGCATTCAGAGATGAGAAGATGCTGAAACTTGTTGTAATAAATACATCTTTAATAGACAATAAATAAAGTCAATTCATATGAATAGTTAAAAACATTACCTATCCTAATTTAAAATACAAATAAATCTGGTAAAAAGATAAAAATATGATAAAATGATAAAAAATTGTGTAATGTATACTGACTAAATATTGTTCATCTGTTTACATATATATCATTATTATTGCAATCACATGCCATCTATTTCTTTTCAGCCTCGGGAAAGAGGGCCATATTGCCAGCTGAAGTGCGCAATGCATTGTGGGGCAGAAGCAGTACGTGAAGCAAGCTCAGCTCCATACTCAGAAATCGAAGCGATTGAGTATACATCCGGGCATTTCTCGCATACACAAAATTCGCATACTGTACAGTGTGAACGCACTGCCTACTCAATTCAGGGGCGGGGTTAATATGAGTAGTACGAGTAGTATGCCATTTCGGACACAACCAAGGAGAGAGACCAGACAGGAGGCTCCTCCGAGCCAGCCTCACACGTATCACCCCCACCCTTACACGGTCTTAACAAGGTTTAGACAAAATTATTTAATCATAATAATTGTTATAATTATTGTTTCATAACTTACCCTACATAGCCCAAGACAAGGCATCAGCAAGTACATTCTCAGACCCCTTTTTCTGAATAATTTCCAGATTGTAGTTTTGAATGATCAACGACCACCTCATTAAGTGTTGGTTTTGTTTGTACATTCTAGAGGGAAACACAAGAGGGTTATGATCCATAAAGACTTTGACAGGTTTAACACTGGACAACAGATAAACTTTAAAGTGTTGTAAAGCATACAACATGGCAAGGGTCTCCTTCTCAATAGTTGAGTACCTGAGATGATGTTTGTTGAATTCTTGTGAAAAGTAACTTACAGGGTGATCAATGCCCTGGGCATCCTCCTGCAGGAGAACAGCACCGGCCCCAACAGCACTGGCATTCACCTCAAGCTTAAATGGCATAGAAAAGTTAGGAGCAGACAGGACTGGTTTACAACAAAGCAGGCGCTTCAAACTCTTAAAAGATTGCTGGCACTCAGCAGACCAAGTGAAAGCCTTTGAGGGACTGGTTAGAGCAGTCAACGGAGCTGCCACTGACGAAAAGTTCTTACAGAACCGGCGGTAGTACCCAGCCATCCCCAAGAAATGCCGCAACTCTCGCCTGGTGGTTGGCACCGGAAGCGCAGTGACAGCTGCAATTTTGGCATCTACTGGACACACCTGGCCTTGGCCAACTTGCTGCCCAAGATAGACCACACTTCCTTTTCCAAATTCACATTTGGGAAGATTAAGGGTCAATGAAGCGTCTGCCAGCCCCCGGGAAAACTTCCTTTAAAGAAGCAACATGGGAAGTCCAATCATGAGAGTACACAACAACATCACCCAAGTATGCTTTGCACTTTGGAACATCACCCAGAGCATTACACATAACCCGGTACTGGAGAAAAGCATCTGGGGTTATAAATGCAGAAATCTCTGACGCATGGGGTGTTAAAGGAACCTACTAGTACCCCTTTAACATATCCAACAGTGACGTCACGATGGTGGAGAGAAGCCTCGCGGCCCCTCTACATTTTTGTTTGCTGTTAGATCAAAAGTTAATTTCTAACAGATCAAACTTGGTGAAGAGAGACTTAAATGATGCAACAAGAGACGAAGATGGAAGAAATTATAAAAGAAATGAACGAAATGTGAAAGAAGCTGTCGGAAGAGGTGAAACAGGTAGCAGCGAAACAAACAGCTGGTGAGCCTCATGACGGACGTACACAAACTCAAGGTGAAGCTTGAAGAAAAAGAGAAGAAAATCACAGAACTAGAGGGGAAGGTGGAGAATCTTGAAAAGCTGGATAAAAGAGCCGAAGACCTGGAGCTTTCCACCCGAAAGGAAGACGTAATTATCAGTGGCCTCGATGTTAAACCAAGAACGTATGCGACGGCAGCGCGTTCTGGGGCAGGAGGTGACGAGGGACTGCGTGTGGAAGACCAAGAGTGGCTGGAGACGTAAGTAATTAAATTCATGAAAAGTAAGGACATCTTCCTAGATAAAAAACAACATTGCGGCTTGTCACTCTCTCCCAAGAAAAGACCGTAAAGCCAAACACACGATCATCATTCGGTTTGTAAACCGCAAGCACAAAACTGATTTACTGATGCAAGGGAGAAAGCTCAAGGGAACATCTGTCTACATGAACGAACATCTCACAGCAAAAAACGCTGAGATAGCCAAAGAAGCGCGTCTGCTTAGGAAAGATGGCAAAATCAAAGCAACGTGGGCCAGAGACTGTAAAGTCCTAATTCGGTTGAATGGTCCCTCGCCTGAAGCTGAGAAGGTGATGATGATAAAGGAGCTTGAGCAGCTTGAACCATACAGATGAAGAGTACTTTTTTTACTTTTTTTCCCTTTGCTTTAATTTTTACAGATCTCTGCTTTTTTTCTGAAACTAAATACTTTTTTCTTTTAGTATTTTATTTTTTTAACAGATCTCCGTTCTTTCTCTGGGACTAAATATCTTTTTCTTTTGGTATTATATTTTTTACAGATCTCTGCATTTCCTTCAGGACTAAATATTTTTTTCTCTTCGACAGTAGCCTTTGACTTTTGTGTGAATGGTGGTGTGGAAGTGTGTGTGTGGGTGCGACTGCGAAATTGTGTATGGATGCGTATGAACGTGTGGATGTGTAAGTGGATGATCAACTATGTACGGATGCTGGAAACTGCGTGTGGAGTGTTGTGGTGCGTATGGGAGCTACTACGAAATTGCGCTTGGGTATATGTGAGAGTGCACAAACATCTCGCCGGGGATGTGCAAATTGTGTGCCCACAATGGGTGTGGCTATGGACTGAACAACCAATAGACACCTCCTCGCATAGCTCTTTGAACTATGGGCCAATAAGAGAAATGATTTATGACTCCGATTGCTATCCCGATGGTGTGTGCTGGATTATTATATCTCATTGTTACTCTGATGTTTGTGTGCTATGTGCTCATCTTGATGGTGTGTGCTGGATTATCATTTATTTATGTATGAATGTATTTATTTTTTTCCTTCAGTATTCTGATGCTATGTGCCGGGTTTCCTATTTCAGTTAAATATGCATGATTTTGAACAAGACATAGACCCTGAAAGTATAATGATTTTAATAGCATTAAAATCAATTGTGAATATTATACAGAAAAACAAGTCAATGATGAATTACTTCATGATGGGACCAATAGATTTTCAATCATACACTTTAATTGTAGAAGTTTATATGCAAACTTTGAATATATTAAAGATTATTAAAGCCAATTCAACACACCCTTTTCTGTTATTGCCATTTCAGAATCTTGGATTAGGGAAGCAAAAGGAGTGGCGGACATTCAGTTAGATGGATATGACCTTAAATATATGAACAGAGTGAATAGAGGTGGGGGTGGGACAGCTTTATATATTCAAAATCATTTAAAATTTAGGGTGGTGGAAGAAATGACAACTGCCATTGAAGGCTTATGTGAATGCATTACGATAGAGAAATTTATGGAAAGACAGAAGAATATTTTGGTTAGCTGCATTTACAGGGCGCCCAGCTCAAATATTGTTAGTTTCAGAGATACAATGGAGAAATTATTGCCAAAACCTGAACAGAAAGTAGCTTTCCTTTTCAGGCGATTTTAATATCAATCTATTAAAATCTGATAAGCAACTCATGACAGAAGAATTTACGGAAGCAATGTGCAGCATGGGTCTATATCCTGTCATGAACAAGCCGAGCAGAATCACCTCCCACTCTGCTACTTTAATTGATATCTTTACCAATAATATATATAATAATAATATATTCAGTGTTTTATGAATGAATGATATAACTGATCATCTACCAGTGTTTGTAATGTTTGATTGTGAGGGTCAGAAGAAGAGAGACACAATGACCATAAGCAGCAGCTGACTACGCACAGATGACACAACAGACGTACTAAAACATGAACTGGCAATAGAAAAATGGAGAGACGTGTATGAAGCTGCTAATGTGGATGAAGCCTATGGTGGTTTTTTAAATAAATTCCTGGAATTATTCAACAGGAGCTGTCCGGTCCTGCAACAACGTAGTGGGGGCAAAAAATCAAAGATTCCACACCAAGAAAGAATATTATAACAATCTATTGGAAAACAATAAGAACGATAGCAAAACCACATGGAATATAATTCATAGAATTACTAGAAAGTCTACTAATAAGCCTAGTTATCCAAATCATTTTACTGAAAAGGAAAAGGACATAATCAACATGGATGATATAGTGGACGGCTTCAATAATTTTTTTGTTAGTGTGGGGCTGATTTGGCGAAAAAAATAAAACCTCCACTGGGGGGAGTTAACGCAAAACACACAATTGACAGGAACCCATCCACAATATTTTTACATGATGTAACAAGAAAAGAAATAATAGATATAGTCAAGAACTTAAAAAACAAAACATCTGCTGATTAGAATGGCATAGATATGACCTCAATTAAAAAAGTTATTGAAGAAATAGTCGATCCCATTACTCATATATGTAATTTATCATTCAAACAAGGTACCTTCCCCACAGAAATGAAAACAGCTAAAATAATACCGACATATAAAACAGGAGATAAACATTTATATACAAATTATAGGCCAATTTCACTACTACCCCAGTTCTCCAAGATCCTTGAAAAACTCTTTGTTGCAAGACTGGACAGTTTTATTAAAAAACATATATATATATATTGATTGAAGGCCAGTACGGCTTCAGAGCCAATAGATCCACCTCTATGGCTCTCACAGAAGTAATAGAGGAATTAACAAACGCAATAGATCATAAGGAGTATGCTATTGGAGTCTTTATCGACTTAAAAAAAGCCTTCCACACTATAAATCACGACATATTATTACACAAACTAGAGAGACATGGAATCAGAGGGATAGGACTCAGTTGGATAAGGAGCTACCTAGAAAACAGAAAACAATTTGTTAAAATAGGAGAGTATAGGTCATCATGTTTAAATATTTCCTGCAGAGTACCACAAGGGTCCGTATTAGGACCAAAACTATTTATTTTTTACATTAATGATATAATTATGGTATCTGACATCTTCAAATATATAATATTTGCGGATGATACTAATATTTTTTGCTCAGGTAAGGACATCAAACAGTTGTTGCAGATTATTACAACTGAACTAGAGAAGTTAAAGTGGTGGTTTGATAGTAATAAGCTGTCATTAAACATAAGTAAATCTAAATTTATTTTATTTGGAAAAAAGAGGGTAAATCCAAGCACTCAAGTAGAGTTGAGCATTGAAAATGTAAAACTTGAAAGAGTACAACAGTATACTTTTTGGGTGTCATAATTGACCAAAACCGTTGGTAGTTGGAGTTGGAAGCCCCATATTAACCATGTCAGATAAAAAAACGGCAAGGAGCTTAGGTATCCTAAGGAAAACAAGATACATGTTAAATATGAGATCTCTGTATTTGTTTTATTGTACTCTATTATTACCTTATCTAACATATTGTGTTGAAAACTGGGGAAACACAAAATTAATCTGAATCCCCTCAGCATTATGCAAAAAAAAGCTATGAGAATCGTACATAATGTGGGAAAAACTCATCACACCAACAAACTGTTTTTCAAATCGAATGCACTAAAATTATTGGACATATTTGAACTGAAAACGACTCAGATAGCTTATAAAGCGAGAAATAATATGCTCCCTGGTAACCTTCAGAAATTGTTTAAAGAAAGAGAAGGGAGATATGAATATAGAAATGCATTAAACTTCCAGCAACCTAAGGCGTGGACAACTCTAAAAAGTATGAGTTCATCAGTTCAGGGAGTGAAACTATGGAATGGATTACCAGAAGAGATTAAAATAAGCAAAAATATTTATCATTTCAAAAAAATATTTATAAAATTTAAACTTGAATGATATGGACAAACCTTGGATGCATAAGGGAAGGTTGAAGGTCTTTGAAGGTTTTGTATAATGTCAGTTCTGATATAGTCATGTGGTCTTAAGGCTTCATGTGTTCTTGATTTGAAAAATTATTGCGCGAATATTTGCAAGTAAATGTTGTGTATTCCAAGTCAATATAAAAATTGGTAATATTTTTCTCAATATTTATTTTACATTTATTTATTAATGTTTTCTTTTCTTTTCTTTTATGTTATGAGGTACAAATGATGTAAAGCCACCCATTTTCGCTGTGGGATCTGTTTCACTCAATCATGTTTGCTCATCTATATCTATCTAATCATGTCTCAAATTGTCTCTGAATTATCTACTGGTATTGTTATTGAGGTTGTCTCTACACCTTGATTGATTGTAAGTATCACAGTGGCAAGGGGGTAGGTTCCTCATAAGCCTTGGCTTCTTACCTATCCTTTTCGTATGTATATGTTTTGTCATTCATACAAAATAAACAATCAATCAATCAAAAAAAAAAAAAAAAAACTTAGAAACATAAGTGGGTGGGCCTATTTCATCAATGCAGTCCTCAATCGGCGGCAAGGGGTATGCATCGGGACTAGTTACAGAATTCACCTTGCAATAATCTGTGCAGAATCTTGGACTCCTATCAGATTTTTGTTCCCGAAGGCAGGGCGAACTCCAGGGACTGGAACTTGGGACTGCCAGTCCGTGATCCAAAAGGTAATCGACCTCCCCCTTTATCATTTCCTTCTTGACAGGACTAATCCGGTAGGCCTGCTGCTTTATGGGTTTCGGATCTGTCAAGACAATGCCATGAGAAATGACAGTGGTTTGGGAGGGAACATCATTAAACAAACATGGGAAACTCTGAATGAGTTTCTCAATGTCTTCACATTGAGCATCAGGAAGGTGAGACAAAAACTTGGGCAAATTAGACAGCAGCTCAGAGTTGTTCAACCTTGCCCCCTGGGGTGTAGCACTACGCATTACTAACCCATCATCAAAGAGGTGTCTACCTCGGAACAAACGGCCATGGGTGCACCCACCGCCTGTACAGCAGCAACGGCAGACATTTCACCTCCCTCCTCCCGAGAGATGTACCGCTTCAGCATGTTCACATGGCAAATCCTGTTCCTCCTCCTGTGTTCCGGAGTTAGAATGACATAATTTGTGTTGCTGATTTTCTCTCTACAATATAAGGACCAAGGAATTTAGTAGAGAGAGCAGAACCAGGTACAGAGGAAAACATTAGAACTTTGTCGCCTGGCTGAAACAAGTGGTAGGCAGTTTTCAGGTCATAGTGCTGCTTCATTTTCACCTGTGAAGAAGTCAATGCTTCCTTGGCCAAAGAGCAGGCATGCTGAAGGTGGGCTCGAATTTTGGTTGCACACTCTGGAATGCTGTGAACAGTCTCCTTCGGTAGAAGAAGTTGTTCTTT